ACTGGTTAGGAATGGCTCAGTTTTTCAGAGCACTGGTTTTCACCAAGGGCTACTGGAAGATTCCTTTGTCTGTAGAGTCCAAGGAGAAAACCTTCTCCACTCCGTACGGTTTGTATCAATTCATCAAACTTCCTTTCGGATTGTTCGGAGCCCTCGCCATGTTCCAGTGCCTCGTGGACCATGTGCTACGGCCGCATACTGCATATGCTGCAGCCTACCTGAATGATGCCATCATCCACTGTAACACCTGGGCAGAACATGTGCAGTGAGTGGCCGCGGTCCTAGAGTCACCGAGGGAGGCGGCGCTCATGGTCGACCCGAAGAACTGTGCATTTGTACTGGGGTACCACTTGGGATAAAACAGATGGATAAAACAGCAAATGACATTTGTGCAGGCAAAAAAGGCCCTCTGTGTGTGAGGGTGAATGCGAGAGAGAGAGAGTGAGTGTCTGTGTACATGTCTTTGTCACAAATGTACTTAATAATGAGGGTGGGAAGCCATTTTTCATCAGGCTGTCAAAATTGAGGAGATCAACAGATTTTTGAAGTAGTCTTGGCATTTAATTTAAAGCAGTAACAAGGGCAGGTCCAAAAGCTTAAAATTACAATCCATGATGAAATACTTCCTGTACTGAGTTTGTAGGTTAGTAAGGTAATACTGTCTGTTTTTAGAATTTCTATCTGCGATGTTTCTGTTGACATGAAAAATCTGAGTGTAACGTTGTTCTTGCCTATTTTATTGTGTGTGGAATCAAATCTTGCTTCTTAACCTTTTGCCCTGGCTCCATTGTTGGACTGTCCATTGTTCAACAATGGAGGACATCAAAGTATCAAATGCAATGCAAAAATTATATATAAATATATTTTGAAAAAACACATCATACACAACATGATATGGAAAAAAAAGTTGATTTTGTTATAACGGTTATTAAACATCTCCTTTCCAAATAAATCTGAATTTTCTGGCTATTTATTGATGGGTTTGGTCTTACAGAGTTAATGACCTTATACTACCATATGACCCTATTAGAGAGTGCAGGCGTACAAATACATCAAGGTCCTAGAGTGTTTAAAAGTAGAATGGGAGGCAGAGCCTTCAGTTTTCAGGCCCCTCTTCTTTGGAACCAGCTTCCAGTTTGGATTCAGGAGACAGCTACTATCTCCACTTTCAAGTTTAAGTTTAAAACTTTTCTTTTTGTTAAAGCATATAGTTAGGGTTGGATCAGCTAACTCTGAATCCTCCCTTAGTTATGCTGCAATAGGTGTAGGCTTCTGGGGGATCCCCATGATGCATTGAGCATTTCTTCTTCAGTCACTCACTTTCTCACTCACTTTGTGTTAATAGACCTCTCTGCATTTAATCATTATTTGTTATTAATCTCTTGCTGTCTTCCACAGCATGTCACAGCACGAGGAGGAAGACAGAATGTCTTCCTCCTCTCACCCCAACTGCCACAGATGGACATTTCATGGATGTTTCATTGGTTCTTTTCCTACAGCAATGGTTTACAAATTCCTCGACCACTTGTCATTTTGAGCTGATAGTAAATTTAACAATAGATGTTTTCATCCAGGAAGGAGTGCAAAAACTACATGTATGTATTTACAGTATTCATTTTAATTATCTGTCTTTTAAACCAGCATATTTGTGAAATGATGTTAAGTGATTGGTGAATTGATGGTGATTCTGAGTGTATTTTACAGTGTTTTCTTCCTTTAAAGAATAGGCAATGTTAAGTTTATTAATAATTAAAATGTTATTTTACATTAGACGTGTTAATTCATATGCTGATTTTGCAATTGTATCAATATTTTATTATCTAAAAACAGGAGTAAAATTCTGTAAAATCCACAGGAAAACTACTGTTCAATTAC